ATGTGGATGATATTTACCATGGTGTTTGCCTACGGTAGCCTCGGCTAAGCAGAGGGTATGTTTAAGGCATATACATCAGCAGAACTATCTGGCAAGGACATGACATACTAGCGGGAGTATGCCCTTTGAGCAGGCGATTCCTGTCTTTTTTTTTTTTTCCCAACACATGAGCAGCTAATTATTCATGTCATTAAGTCGCTAGACGAGCAAATTTTCAATCCAGCAGATGATCCTGAGTACTTTTGCAAAACTGTATGGTCATGAAACCCAGTGTACAAGTTCTGAGGGAGTTTCGATGCTTCTGAAAACTGTTCTTAACTCCCCTCGACCCCCCACCCGGGCCACCCCCACCCCCACCCCCTCTAAGGTGGAGGTCTCACCTCATCGTTCAGGTCTGATGAGTCATCTGTATTCCTAGATACAGGATAATGTCTCTCTTTTTTTTTCTCTTTTTCTTTGTTGAAAAAAGCCAGCTTCGGCCTGCTAGGCGGGGTGATAGGAGCATAGATTCTCCCCCTAGCAGGGGGCTCCCAGTTGATCTGATCTATTGGTGGGGAGCAGCACCTGCTAGAAACCGGGTCCTGTGCCCCCAATACATCCAGGAATTTCAAAGTGTGCGACCTACAGAACAGATCCTGTTCAAGTACAGTCGTGCTTCCCAAACTGTGCTATTGATTGGTGACTAAAACTTCAAAATTTTTAAAAATTTTCTTTTCAAATTGTTCGTTTCTCAGTGTGTGGTACGTGTCATCGATGATGCTAGTCCAACCTTATCTTCTTCTTCTTCTTCTTCTTCTTCTTCTTCTTCTTCTTCTTCTTCTTCTTCTTCTTCTACTACTACTACTACTACTACTACTACTACTACTTCTTTTGTTTTTTTTTCAAAATGTGTTCCTGATTCTTGTAACTTATTAAGTGTCCCTTGGTAAATTAAATGCTACGACTTTAGTCTGAAATGCAAAGGGGAACCCAACGCGGTATGGCTTGGAGCAGAAGGAGGAAAGACTACTCCCTTTTTTTTCCTTCCTTTCTTCTTTTTTTCCCTCCTCTCCTCCTTTTTAAAAGCGCAACGGCCTTGATATATATCTCCATTGGACTGACCGGCTCCAGGTAATTCAGAATGATTTTCTTCTGGTCACCTGGTGGTACTATCTGGATTTGAACTCCGGTCTGTATTTGAACAGTCCATGGGTGTACCAACTGAGCTAGGCCCATTGGTTGGAGGCATGGCGAGACTACCGTAACCGACCTTGCCCAAATAGAACGGCCGGTCATTAACGCTGCATCTGGACAGAATATCGCCCCAAATACAGCTCTAATGACAGGGCGTTCTATTCGGGTGAAGACGGTAGTCTGCTAGCTGGAGTTTTGTAAGACTTGAAGGACTGTTGCAGGTCGGAACAGACTAAGTCCTCTTCAAAAGCAAAACTATGGGAGACTACCTTCTTCACCCAAATACAATGTGACAGTATAAGGTCATTATAGCTGTACTTGGGGTATCTTTCAGTCTAAATCTAGCAATAATGATGCCATTATGATGGCACATTGTATTCAATTTGGGGTAAAGAGGGTACCGATGGGCCCAGCAATGGGCCCAACGATGGGCCCAACAGTAAGTGGAATAGTTTGAGGAGGGTACCAGAAAAAGGAGGGATGTCTGGTGGTACTGACAAATGCAGAGTTGGGGGTGACATGGACAGAAGGGGGGATCAATACGTCTGGCAAAGGAAAAAGATGTCCATATGCAGTTGGGGACCCCGTAAATAAATGCCAAGGGGAGAACAAGGGGATTGGCTTCTGCCTACCCTGAGCAATTCATTCAAACTGGGTTTACAAATTGAAATCGCCAGTACCCTGCTCGCTTTGAAATTCTCTCTTTTTCCCCATGATCATGATGATCTTCCTCTTTGAAAAAGCGCGACAGACCTTTACATATCATCATCGAACTGGCCGTCCATAGGTAGTAATTCAGAATCCGATTCGCAGGATTTTTTACTCTTCTGTTTCCAGTGGGGTTTGAACTCAGGTCTGTACTTTGGCAGTTCAGGGGTGTACCAACTGGAGAAGGCCAGTTGGTACTGCCCTGCCCGCTGTCTCTCTTTTCTTCCTCTTCCTCTTCCTCTTCCTCCTCCTCTTCCTCTTTCAAATAAAGGGTGACCCCCCTTTATTTAAAAGCCTTGAGATATCATCGTTGAATGGCCCGGCCCAAGGTAATTCAGAATTGTAGTATTTAAAATTTAAACAGTATTTTATAATGTTAGTAAATAATTTGACACATATGCCTCTTATGGAGGCAATGCCAGGAACTCAGGTCTGTACTTTGACAGTTCAGGGGTGTAACAACTGAGCCAGGCCTATGGTACTGTAGTACCCTGCCCGGCGCCCGCTTTACTTTTCCGGACTCACTGAATTCAAGGTGGCCTGGGACAGGGTCCGTAAAGGCCCTGTCGAGCCCTCGGGATCGAGGTCATTTGAAAGTTAATTCGGGACGGGAGGCGGGGGGGGCTGAGGGACGTAAGTCGACATTTTTTGCTACAGAGGTGGTGGTGATGGAAAGAAGGGCGCCGATTTGTAGAAATGAAAATTTTTTAAGCATGATGGATCAAACGCAAACTAGAATACACACACGTCGCACAGCCATCTTCCGCTGAACATAGAGCATGCGAATGTGTTCGAGGCGAATAGAAGGCATAGGTTGTTGCTTTCCATTCGACGTTTAAATCGCGTATGCTTTCTATTTGACTTTGGAGGTCCTGGAGCAAATTTAAGGTGACGAGGGATGTCGGTCTGGGTAGAGTAGGCCAAGTTTTCCCACTTGTTTGAGCTTTTTCCAGTACAGTACGGGCCAGTGCTTTCTCCTGTTTGAGTTGAGCTTTTCCCACCACTTGCAGAGTGGGACCGTGGATGAAGGTGGGACTGTGAACAGGAACCGTTGCCACAAACCGTAGATGGAACCACCCTCAGAGCCGCAGCCACTAGCAGTGAGATCACCGCATGAAGTTCGGTAAACCTGTTGTAGGGGGTGTGTGCAGAGTTGCAGACCTGTGGGATCAGGTTCAGCCCCCCATCAGGGTGGGCGTTGCTTCCTCACTGATTGCCAATTCGCCATTCATCAATAGCTGTCTCTTATACACATCTAGATGTGTATAAGAGACAGGTGTGCAGAGTTGCAGACCTGTGGGATCAGGTTCAGCCCCCCATCAGGGTGGGCGTTGCTTCCTCACTGATTGCCAATTCGCCATTCATCAATAGATGAGCTGTTTGTAAAATAAAATTAAATTAAATTAAAAAAAAAAAAAAAAAAAAAGAGGAAAAGATTTTCATTTATTTTGTTTTAATATTAAAAAAGGCTAATTCTTTGAAGCCCAACCAATTCAATTACCTGTCAAATCTGGACAGGACGGCCTTTCAGGCCTTTTTTTATTGTCATTATAGTATTACGGGGAACCCCGTAGCAGCCACATCCATGCTCAAGCCTCCAACGAGGGAGCATGCGGGAGCTGCACCCACCAGCAGGTGCGATACCTGCTACAGCAGGTGGGCGATACCGGCCAGGGGTCAGCCGGTAGCATCAGGACCGAGCTTCTTCAATGGGCCAGTCACTGTGCCTCCCTTCCGGTCCTTCAAAAGAAGAGGTTTGAGTATTACCGTATTTGAAAAGTGAAATTCAATATGGGGTCAGCCCTGGGAGCTTATGATCTCCCCTAACCAGTTCCCGTCAGTCCCGAACAGCTACTACCTACTTTCACCAAGGGAGAGTGAAGATAATCTGAATGAGGACTCGGAGGAACGAATCATGGCGGATTTACTTAGAAAAGCCACCTTATGCATGATATGGAGATCCAGATGGCATTGCAAGGAAACTCTCAGCAACCAGAAGACACCAAGCGAGGAAGCATGAAAGGAGGTGAAGGAAATAGTGGAAACAGAAATAAGAGTGCAGTGTAAAAAGTTTTAAGCAAAGAAGACGGAAAAGCTAAAAGAATGGAAGGAGGTTGAGGAAATTATAGTGGAAACGGAAATCGGAGAGCAGTGGGAAAAGTGGAAACAAAAATCAGAGGGCAGTGGAAAAAATGGAAACAAAAATCAGAGGGCAGCATAAAAAGTGGAAACAAAAATCAGAGGGCAGTGGAAAAGTTAAGCAAAGGAGATGGAAAAGCTAAAAGCATGGAAGAAGGTGAAGGAAATTATAGTGTAAACAAAAATCAGAGGGCAGTGGAAAAAGTGGAAACAAAAATCAGTGGAAAAGTTAAGTAAAGAAGATGGAAAAGCTAAAAGCATGGAAGGAGGTGAAGGAAATTATAGTGGAAACAAAAATCAGAGAGCAGTGGAAAACTTCCGAAAAAGTTGAAGTAAAGAAGATGGAAAAACTAAAAGCATGGAAGGATGTGAAGGAACTAGTGTGGAACAGAAATCAGAGCTCAGAGGAAAAAATCCGAAAAAGTTAAGTAAAGAAGATGGAAAAGCCAACAGACCCGAGAGAAAGAGAATCATGCCAAAAAAAAAAAAACTTCGAAAACATTTCGCTCTTGGAAGGGAAAATAGCAAAGATAGCAAAGATAGCCAACAGTTTTGAAGTTTTCTGAATTTCCAGAAGTGGGACACGGAATGTCAACGAACAGACC